CACTGAGCCACACCAGTCGGGCCCAAGCATATACCTTTAGAATATTGACGAGCATTAGATTAGATGGCTTAGTTCATGTATAAAGAATGTAATATAACGGAGGAAAATGTATTTTTTGTTTGCAGAAATGCATACAAAAATAGTTGGCCTGACACATTATTATTACCTAAACCATTATGAATGGGTTACTGAAAGTGGCCACAAAGTGACAGAAATAGGAGCTTTATTTCCTCAGAAAAATCTCATATTCATGGTCTAGGATAGAGTCCAGCTCAAGCCTCAGACATTTTGCTTGTAATTGGCCTCTTAATGCATCAGAAATTGTCAGAAGGAAGACAAGTGCCTCCTCCACAGGGGTCCCTCGGGCCCAGCCCCAGTCAGTGAGCAAGTGAGGTGTGTGCCCACCCTTCTTAGCTAGGCTCCGATCCACAGGCCTTGGTTGGATTTCAGTTTCAGCTCTGCTGCTAATCTGCTCCGTGATTCGCGTGTTTTAAACCCTTTCAGCTGGAGAAAGGGATAATAATTTCAACTCATCTCACAGGAATGTAGTAAGGAGAAAACAAAACAACCCATGCGGGAGTGTTGTGAAAAGCTGGAAGTCCGATCCACGTGTAGATATTATTTTCAGAAGAGCCTGAAAGTACTCAACCCTTTGTTTCTAATTTGAAGCATGGGAGGAAGAGTTCTATTTCCTTTTGCACCTAATTTGAACAAAAGACATAAACCATCTCACTTGGACTTTTCTCTAGTTCAAGCATTTGGCTTGAAGAAGCCTTTGGTCAGCAAGCTGCCAACTCATAAAGTTGAAACGAAATCCAAACTCCACTCTAAGTCAGGGTGTGGAGATGGAAAGAATAGGGAACTTTCTGCAATGTTCCTGGTCTACAAGGGGAAATTCAGCAAGACTACAGAGGTAATGATAACAATAACATATAAACTGTGAAAGATCCCCTGCAAGAAAACCAGGTTTGGTTTAAAATAGAGCATCGGCAGAGGGTGGAGGGAGGTGAGGGGTGGGGGGTGGTCTTGGCTCCACTCAAAGCTAACCTAGGGAGAGTCTCAACTGTTGAGATAGAAATTACACAGGTTTTGCCCCAAACATAAGCGATGTCATGTGAAGGGTCTTCCCACCTCAGGGACTTGTGTCCCTGAAGTGTCTTCTGCCTGAAACCTTCCTTTTCACCTTGTCCTTTCTTAAGGAGCACTTTCTTAGGGAGGACCCTGCACCTCTCCTTTATAAGGGTTGATCATTGTCTGGGATTAGTGAGTCATTAATATGATTGATTAATGTCCATTGTTCTCCCCTCCTCCAATAAGCCCCTGAAGACAGGGAACAGTTTGATTTCATAGTATGCCCAGAAGAGAGCAGAATGCTCAGAGTGGGCCTTCGTTAAATATTTATTAAATGAGTGAAGAAAGAAATACGATCTGAAAAGAACTTTAAAAAGAAGATTTCAGATCACAAATCATTATTAGGTAGGCACATTTATGCAAATATACACATGCCCACGTTTAGACATTTTGAAGAAGGGACATGAAAGGGCAAAGTTATTGCTTCCCAGGCTTGAAGGCACAAGTTTACAGTCTGGGGACTTCAGATAGAAATTCTCTCTGGACCAAGTGTCATGTGATAGAACAGAAAGTTGCATCCTGGGGCCAGCCGGTCTTTCTCAAGCGATCAGACAGCTCCTGGAAGCACAGGTAAAGCAGCACCTGGTTTTGTTACATTCTATTTGCTTTCTCTGTTCTAAAGAATTGAAAAGTATGGCTAATTGGGCATTCATTCATATGAATGTAAGTGAGGAACATAACATTTTCAAAAAATATTCGAACGCTACCACGAGATAAAGTAGTTAACATTTCTAATTTTTATTGAGCTACACTCAAAGACACCATGCTTTTTGGAGACAAGTCAATCCCCATCTTCCATCTGTTTTTCTCTTGCACAACATATTTAAGCATTATTTGGTGCCAATTAAAAAAAAATAGGTTTATTTTTATTTTTACATTGTGATTTTTCTTATCTTTCAATTCTTCTATGGAACATATACTTAAATTCCATCTCCCTCAGAAAGTAGCTTGAATTTATAACTTTCTGGGAGCTAAGTGTACCCCATTCGTGCATTAAACAAATATAAAGAATAAGAATGCTGAGTAATTAAGATCATGTCTTTTCTGGGGCTTTTAAAGCTACAAGGTTTATTTTCCATCCTTCAAAAGATTGTACACAATAAGTTACATGGCAAATAAAAACGAATTAAGTGAGACTGAGAGATCAGAGAAGAAATAAAGAGGCGCCAGTTTCTGTAGCAAGTCTTTAATGGATGATGCTTTGGGGCTATCAATTTGGAAAGAAAAAAATCAAATAAAAATCCATTCCATACTTATTCTGAAGCCCTCATCCTTTTCTGTTTTCATATAACTCTGCCAAAGTTTTATTTTATATAAGATCTATGTTCTTCTGTGTCCCAATAGTCTACAAACAAATTCTAATCCATGAAGCAGACAAAACTTAAACAATGTAAATGCTGGTTAGTAATTTAAATATAACAATAAGTAGGGTACTTTCTCCTATGTATCATTAACCATGCAACCCCCAGCCCCCTTTATTTTGCCATTTTCCTACTGCTCTAGCAGAAATACTAAAGGTCAGATAAAAACCCAAAGAGGTTTTTTTTTGTTTTGTTTTTTTAAAGAGATTTAAAGCATCTTCTGTTTAATTTTTTTTTGGGTATGTGTCCTTAGCGGAAACCGAACCTGGGACTCTCCAGTCCGCAGGCCATCGCTCCAACCGCTGAGCAAAACCGGCGAGGGCCCAAAGAGGTTTTTTTTATATAGTTTCAACTTTATACTTAAAGCCTATCTCAGGCTGTGAAACTGCTTTCATCCTTGGATTGTTTGAAATTCATTAACTTTATTTTTCCTTTGGGAAAGTAAGAACAAGTCAGGATCAAAAAGGAAAGTACATTTGTTTCCCTCTGTGGAATCTCTCCTTGACTCCATTTAGTAGCAGCTGGGAGTGCAAGCCTGGGTTTACCTCATGTTGGGGAGAGAAAAGTCATTGTTTTCTAGAATGGTAAGCATCTAGCAGAGTTCTTTGAACAGAAAATGTTTAGTGTAAATTTGGCAAAATGATAGGTGAATGAAAGAATGACACCATTTTCATTGTTTTAAAAAGAATTATTTCCATTCCATTATCTTACTACAGTTTGAAACCCCTTGTTAATTGGACATTACACAATAAGCCTAAAGCCTCCCCACAGAGAAATAGATCAAGGCACAGAGAAATGCTTTGGCTTTGGGGAGTTTAGAAAGAAGGGCCTGTGCTCATTGCTTGAGCTTCACATGCAGTATCTTGTCTGAAACACTTAGGAGATTCTCCATGAGGAGAACGGATTGTTTTTGGAGCGTGTGGCAAAGTAAGGTTCTCAGCAGCAGAAATGTTTTAAATGTTTTCATTTAGACCAGGCATTGCCTTGTCTAAATAAACAATCACCCATGGTCCATAACACTATTAGGAAGATACGGTGTGACTTACTCTAAGAGAAATCTTTGCTTTTATCTGACCTACAGTTGGATCTTGTGTCTATATTTTTCCTTTGCTTTTTAACTTTCTTCTGTCAGTGATTGTGAAATTTCCCGTTTGGTTTCTCCATAGGGGTCCTAGTATTTAAGGGGAATTGGGGAATGAATAAATTCTAATCCTAAAAAGATGATTGTTTCAGTCTGCCTTAGTAACAGTGCAAGCTCCTGGCTTCTCCATGGCGTGGCTCTTAGGGGCTGCTTAAGGCCACCACCCAGCAGATGTGCCTGTGGGTCAGGGACCGTAGTAACTGTTATTCATCCCTTGGACACTAAGGGGCTAACCCAGGGACTGGGGACTTCAAGGAAAGATACTCTACCCCACTTGCTCAGTGGAAGCACAGGCTCCCTTTAAAGGCAAACTGCAAATAAGAATAAACTTGAAAAAGGCCCTTTAGACGCAGATCAATGCTCAGAAACGTTGCCAACCACTTACAACTCCCCTTTGACATTTCACAGAGGTGTTATTTACGCGAAAAGACAGGCCTCCTTCTACCCCAAACCAAATCCCTGTTCTGTGCCCGGGGGGGGGGGGGGGGGGGGGGTGTCGGATGAGCAGCTGGAGAAATATGCGCCCACTCTCTTCTCCTTGGTCAACTCAGGTCACCTTGGCAGAAGGCTCCCCTGAGTCTCTGGGGATACTTCCGTGATACCTGTGACCTGAGCCTCTCCCGGGAATTCTTTTATCTGTTCAGGAGGTCTCCTGGGGGTGCCACGACTTCCCAGCCGGTTGGCTCTGCCTGAAAGCAGAACCACCCAGAGGTCCCCCACCCCCCGCCCCACCAGCTCTGGGACGGCTGCGGGGCTGCGCCAGTCATTAATGGCCACCATCCATTTTTAATCAGAAAGATCAAAAAAAGGATGGGTAAGCGAATCCCAGTCGCAAGTCAATTTAAATAACATTCCTGGGGAAATCCAATCACTTAAAACTGAGACACCTACGCGAGCAGGCGCCCCCGCCCGTCTGGAGCGGAAGAGCGCGACGGCTGAATTAATCAAGAGCTGGGTGCTCCCGCGCTGAGCGGGCGTTAACCCTTCCAGCGCCGGAGGGTGGCCAGGAGCGCCTGGAAGAGCGCAGCCGGCCGGAGCTGAGATGCCTGGGGCAGCCCGACGCAGCCTGCCTCTGCCATCTTGGGCGGCTCCGGACGCCCTGCGCCCTGCCCGGGCGGCTGGGAGCGCGGGCTTAAGGTCAGAAGCTCAGGAAGCTGCTCCGGCTGCGACGAGCGGCCCCCTCCCGCAGACTCGGCGAGCCTCGGGCTCCTCCTCCCGCCCAAACGTGGCCAAGTGAGGACTGCTCCGGCCGCAGGTAGCGGAGGCGCGGGACCCGAGCGGAGCGCCCAGGGAGGGGCCGACGGATCCGCGGACGGACGGATTCCCCAGTCCCCCGCCCCGGACATTAGTGACGGTCTGAGCGGGCCATGTGGGGAACTGGGGTCACGGCCGAGGGCCTGTCGGTGGCGCCGGCGCCGCCACCACTGCTGCCGCTGTTGCTGCTGCTGGCGCTGGCGCTGGTGGCGCCCTCGCGGGGCGGCGGGGGCTGCGCGGAGCTGGCGTGCGGCGAGCGGGAGCGCTGCTGCGACGCGGCCAACGCCACGGCAGTGCGCTGCTGCAAGCTGCCCCTGCATGCCTTCCTCGACAACGTGGGCTGGTTCGTGCGCAAGCTCTCCGGGCTGCTCATCCTGCTCGTACTCTTCGCCATCGGCTACTTTCTGCAGCGCATCATCTGCCCCAGCCCCCGCAGGTACCAGCGCGGGCAAGCGCGGCCCGGGCAGGCACGGTCGGGGCAGCCGGGGGGCGGCGGGCTGCCGGGAGCCGCGGAGCCGCCCGACGACGACGACTCGCCCGCTCTACTGCGGGACGAGGCTGCCGCCGGCTCTCAGGACTCGCTGCTGGACAGTGGCAGCGGTGGTCGAGGGCGGGGAGGCGGCGGGTTCTCGGTCCCTTCCTGCGCCTCGGAGCACGAACTGCGGTTAGTCTCGCCGGCCTTCCTGCAGCTGCCCAGCTACGAGGAGGTCAAGTACCTGCCAACCTACGAGGAGTCCATGAGGCTGCAGCAGCTCAGCCCCGGGGAGGTCGTGCTGCCCGTGTCGATGCTTGGCCGCCCTCGAAGCGGCAGCACCGGGGAGCACGACGGCGGCGAGGGCCGCTTCCCGCTTATTTGAGCGCCGGGGACCGCTCGAGGACCACGAGAACAGAACTGGGCTGGGGGCTGCGGGTGGGACACAACGGCTGGGATGGCCTTGGCCACCAACAACTGGCTCAGACCTCACCTAACATCCCAGGCAAATCGCCCATTAGCCCGGAGACTGGATTGGGGTTACGCTCTCCCCCTCGATCTTAAGTTTCCCTACGTTTCATTCGGTTCAAGGAAACATTAGGCACGCGCGGTGGGGTGACAGCAGCGGACGAGCCCAGGGCGCAACTTCGAAGGACGGTCCCCGCTCTCAGATTGTGTACACTTGTAAGTGCCTGCTTCCCGAATCAGAGAGAACACGTGAGCCCTTTAGTGCGCCGGGAGAAGGGCAGTATCCATTAGGGATGAGGGGGAAGGGATGCAGTTCCACTCATTTCCCTCTCTCCAGGACTGGTCACGGTCTCCCAGGATGGGTGGAGGGCGAAGAAGTGGTAGGGGGCGAGCCTAGACTGCGCTCGGGTCTGGGAAAGCAGCACGTAGGTATGATCAAATTCCTCCCTAGAGAAGAACCCCAGAAACCCTCCCGTCTTCCTGGCCAAGCATAGTCACAGCTGAGGGCTCGCAGTTTGGTGGGGGATACCTGTGATATTCTGTTAGTGGCTGTACCTATTCAAGATAAAGAATTAGGTATATCCAAGACCGTATTCGTAAAAAGGTACAGTTGGACTTTTGATTTTTCAATAACTGAGAAGATATTTATATTTGTCTTTTATTTTTATATTTTGTACCATGTATTGAACGTATCAGGGGGTATTTCTGCAATTAATGACAAGGTAATTGTCTTATCACCCTTTTCAGGCCTTAATGGCTTAGAAATTGCCCAGACTCTCATTATTGTTTAATAAAATGTTGGACATCATTTCACTTACAATGGGGAAAAAAGAGGCATGATCGAATGAGAAAACATATGTGACAAAAACATGAAGGAGATCTTATTTTCACTATTTGAGGAGAATAAATTTTATTTTTAGTACTATGGCATAATATATAACTTTTTATAATAACTATACATTATGTAGTCTAAGTCTGCGTTGTATCATTTACCAGTTATATGTAAAAGTGATAGAGACATATATGCCATACCAGGAAGCATCATGCCATGCACTTTCCCCTCCGTTTTTCATTTGGAATACACTCCACAACATGATATAAAATATAAGAACTTGTTGTGATTTGTAACTTTTGTGTAAAGCCATAACTGTGCAGTAATGTACTACAGAAGGATTCAGTCAACCTGTCTGAAGAAAAAAAAAGTATTATTGTATCAGTTCTACCATTCTATGAAATGGTCTTTAAGCAAATGGTAATATATTAAAATGCATTATGTTAATGTACATATACAGATTGTCTATGTACAATATATACCTGGTATACCATAAAATTATTACAATTTATGATTATCATAAAAGGAAAAGAAGGAAAACAAAAGAGGTTTCTCTGCTTGAGTATCAACATGAAGATTACAGCCCTGGCAGGTGTTCTCAGTGGTTAGAGCATTGCCCAGTGCACCAAAGGGTCCCAGGTTCTATCTCCATTGAGGGTGCGTACCTCGGTTGCAAGTTCTGCAGGTTCAATCCTCGGTTGGTCCGGCACGTGCAATATTTCTCTCTCCCTCTCCCCCCTCTCTTCCACTCTCTCTAAAAATCAATGGAAAAAATATCCTTCGGTAAGGATTAACAAGAACAACAAAAAGATTACGTACATGGACCTCACACATGTACACAAAAACATTGTTTTTAGGATTGAAAAAGTCTGACAGTCCTGAGAAATCTTTAAAAATCTGAATTGTTTTAGAAGAAAATGATTTGATTAAACTTTTTAAGCTGGTTGAAAAAGTCTGATAGTTCTAAGAAATCTTAAAATGCCTCCATTGTAACAGAGGATGGTTTACTCTATACTTTTAAAAGCTAATGTCCTTTATATCATTTGAAGTGTTAAAACAGAAAAACATTAAGACCTTTCTCTGTGAAAACTGTATCAGATGTGTGACTATATGATAGTATATTAAAATATGAAATGTGTATCTTTGTCATTTAAAAGAAATTTTAAGCTATGAATTGGCAAAAGCATCAAGAGTTGAGACAGTATCAATTGAGAATGGTACATGATTTAATGAAGTCATATTACATTGAAGAATCGCATATATTTATGTTTCTCAAACAATGTAAATTTTAGTTACATGTGACTATCAATACTATCCACCATTCAAAGTTGCCATATTCTTTTAAATGATTTATCCTTTGAGAGTACAGTTTCAGACAATTCTTAGAATTCACCCATATCTTAAACATCAACATATTCAAGTACCAGTATATAAAGTATATCCTGTATGTTGTTGCTACAAATATCTTGAACTTTACAATAAGATCTTGTAAAAATATCCTTATAATATGGATCAAGTATGTTTCCCTGTATGAACTACAGAACGTTTCCCTAAAAAATTCAGAATGTCTATAATGTGACACCAATCATGTAATGAGGTTCTCCTGATTTTTAAAATTACAAGTTTTACATTTGTTTTTTCCCTATATATCACACAAGCTTTTATTCACATCCCTTAGTTGAATAAAAGTGAGTTTGACTTCATTTTTTTTTTTCTTTCTTGCAGTTCATTGATTTACCAGACACAATTTGTTCAGGCATAATTTTGTAGGTAAAAAAATCTCAAAACTATTTTTGTTAGTGTATTACAACATGCCTCATAGTAATACACACATATAACATGTTAATAATACATACAGAATGTATGTGTTCACAGTGCTAGAATACCTGGAAAGAAACATTTTTAAAGCCCTGAGGCCAGTCCCTGGGTGTTCAGTTTTACAGATTTCATCTGAAAGTTATTTATTACATAGAACTAGTAGAAAATAGAAATGTAGAAATTGTTGTTCTCTCACCTGTATATGTGTGTGTTTCTATACACACATATACTATAGATATTCTGTGACTGATCATTTTTGCAAGGCTGCTTGCTACATATGCACACATCTTAACCAAACCCATCTGACAGTGCCAAGTTCTCCAGTACTTACTAAGCCTTTGCTCCTGGTTTTCAATTATAAAAGTAATTCTTAGACTAAAATATTTCAAGCATATTTTATCTTCACTGACTTCTCATGAGAAGGGAAATAATGGTCCTGGGTATGGTAAGAATCCATTTGGAATGTGAGAAAACATGATTGATTTTCTAAATCATATATATATCACCAGTTGCTTAAAAGCAATCTGTTATTGGCATTCAATATCATAACCAAGGGGAAAATGTTGTCTTGAGATAGAATGACAGTTTTAAGAAGCCATTAATTGCTACATTCTCCAAATGTGAGTGTGCCTCAACCATGGGAAATGGCATTCATTGGCAATTATGCCAAAGGGGATGAGGTGTACTATGTAAGGAAAACAAGATTCAATTGTAAACGCCAAAGGGAATATTAAGGAAATGGCCTCAATAATTTAAAAGGCAATGTGCTGAGTACCTTAATGTCCTATAAATGTATACAGTTTCTCTAGAGTGGAATTAATAAAGGAAACAATTCAGAGCTAAAACCGATAATGCTATAAACATGAGTATGGTGTTCAGATTTATACAACATTCTACATTGACGTCTATAAAAATCTCATGAATCATAATAAATTTGGATTTCCAGATTGAGAGATCAGTGATGAGTTGTTTTATTTTGAGCAACCCAGCACTAACCATTTCTCCAAAAGTGTTAAGTTGCAGGCAACCAATCAGTATAGAGTATTGGCAAGTTTATAGCTGACCTCACTGGTTTAGTTTACTTTTTCATTCTCCTTTCATCCATTCATGAAAAGGCTAATAAGTGGTAGGCAAAGGGAAGATATTTTATTAACCAAAAAATGAATCGGCAACCAGATAACTGCAAAAAAAAAAAAAAAAAAGACATCCTTTCTTCCACAGGGCTGGAAAGAATGTCTTAATTCTTGTTTTTTAGTTTGCCTATAAAATAATCAAATGTCAAATGAAACCAATAATTTGAATATACTTTAAATAGTAATAGAACCTAATTTTTATTTTCTATTATTTACAGAATTCACTTTTAATTTTATGGCAAAAATTATACTGTAGAGGATATTTATGCTTGCCATCAAACGGAAGATTATCACTTTTTTCCTCTTTAACTCCTCTGAAACACATCTCTTAGAATTCCAAGTTACTCTTTGCTGTAAATTTAATATCACTCTGATTTTGCCCTGGCTTTTTGCACAAAGTTTCTCTTTTGATAAAACAGTATTTTCCAAGGTGTTTTCTTTGTTTTTTATTTGCATCTGACTTCTGTAGTTTCCGGTTTTGCAGTCTTACAGATTTTTTACATAGGTTCCTCTTCGGCTTCTTCTGTATGTGATTATCTGTTTTACTAGGTAGACTAGAAGATATCTCTAACTTTACATTACTTTTATTCCTGCTTCTAGATAATGAAGAATCCCCACCATGGTGTTTAAGATTTTTATCTGAGAAACTGCCAATAGTTTTATCTTCTGCTTCTTTGTTGACTATATTTGTTTCATCAGACCAAAAAAAAATTAGAAACTCTGGGTTTATTTTTATTTTATATTGTTTTTTTTTTTTTCCTCTTCTGTATTGACCAAGAATTTTACCAGATCAAAATTTATTTTGATTATTTTCCTGGGTCTTGAAAGTATCTTCTCTTCAGTTGTAGATTTAACTTTTTTCTTGCAAATTCTTCATTAGTCTGTCATCTTTCTCCATGTGCATGACCCCTGATCTCTGTTGAACCAGCCAAGCTATCAGATGCCTATAGATTTATACCAGTTTTACTTATTCCCCTGTGGTAACAATTTCTGTCTTTTGTTCCACAGCTCTAACTTCTCAGTTTTTTTCTTGGAAGCTCTTCACAGTAATTTCTTCATATCTCTCATCTCTCTCTCTCATCTCTCTCTCTCTCTCTCTCTCTCCATATATATATATATATATATATATATATA